TTTGGCAGAAAACTCAACACTTAAAGAATTTCATTTTAGAGCCACCAACTGTTTTGTGCTTTGTTATTCCTTTACACCATCTTGTCTATCTTCTGAAGCATGAATCATGGAGTTTTCTCGAATTCCAACAGTTCCCTGTACAGATTTCTGAAATCTAATCAATGTAAGCAGGAACGCTCTGGTTCTACAAATTGGGCTTGAATCTGGAGAAGAAAGAAAACACAGGATTTTCTGCACCTTCTGAAACTGTCAAAATCTGTTACTAACATTCTTTGCAGCTGGGACAATGCTAGAAAATTCCTTGTAGATTTCCGGATGGTTTGTAGGATTGTCTGCAAATGCTGTAGACTTTTTAGATGTGGATATATTTCAGCTGCCCACTTTCAAGGTCTCTTTCAAAGACCTACAATTTCCTCCCAAATGTTATGATATCACCAAATACCCTTTCTGATGGTTTCCCTACACCTTGTGGGGTTTTTGTTCAGTTCATTGAAATGTAGGGTGAAAGCTGTAAAAAACTTGAAGTTGTTAAGCCAGGCCATGTCACTATGTCACTGAGTTGTAAATATTCCTGCCCCTTGCATTCATAAACAGCCTAATTTCATCCAATCAGGGTACAAATCTCTCCAAAACTCATCTGCTGCGCAGTCTCCAGACATTACTGTACATAAGTAAAGCATTACACAGAGCCTGAACCTCAAGACGTGCTCGAAACCATCAAATATTAACAGCAGGAGAGCTACAACGTAATTTGCTATTCTTGTGACATCTTTGAGGATACTGACTAATTTTTTGCTGCTTTCCCTGGACAAAGGAACAGAATGACTGGATGTTTCACTGCTTTAACAAAGAACTGTAGAGACCAGATTTTGCCCACCACGAAAGTCATTACTAGTCATTGAAACCACTTTTTCTGATCTCATGTCTGAGACAGAGAAGCCTCCACCACAGCACTGCAGACTTCTATCCCTGTGTTCCTCCAGGCAAAGACACCCATTTCACCTGCTCTTCTTTCATGATGTCACCAAAAGCACAATGCAAAGTTACTGCTAGCCCTGGGGGATTATTCACATCCATGATTTCATCCAGATACATGCAGCTCCAGGCTGCCTTCTGTAAGCAGTGGTGAGCTGCTGGCTAACATCACCTGCCACGTGTAGGGCTCGATCTTTAATGGTGTTTCTGCTAAGTGGCATCTCAGAGATGTGTCGCATCATTTTACCGTTCTTTGGGAAATCATGAAAAGGGCGCTCCCAGACAACATGGCCCTGTTCCCATCAGAGTGGGCCTTATGTGTGCGATGAGATTTGAAAGCTTGCAGGTGATTTGTTTTAGAAAGACAGTTGCAAAACCTAAGATATGGAAAACAATATTTGCTCAATTTCCCTTCAATAAACTCTTTCCTTTCAGTTTCCCAAAGTCCAGCAATACTTTTGAGGTTGATGCCAGTGTTGCTGGATGCTTGACCTGTGACACAAAATACTTTCACTGTACAGGATATGTACGGCTTTCTCGTTGTGCCTGTCAATTCCAGTGACTCTGCCCAGCCCTCTAAGAACGACCGTCCACCGACTGTTTTTCATTTTGCTTTTTTCACGGTAGTAATTTTTTGATGTTTAAGATTTGGCGTTTAGGGCCAGAATTTTGTTCAGTGGCTCAAGCACTTACCTGGTAAGTTTGAGGTCATGAGTTTGATCCCTGGCACAAAAAAAAAAAAAAAAAAAAAAAAAAAAAAAAAAAAGACTTGCAGTTTACAAAAACACAAAAATTTTTTAAAAAAGAAGCACCCAATACAAGTTTCTCCCTATACCAAAAATAGGTAACACTAAAGAATTGGATATTCCCTGAATCGACAATATACAACGTGAATCTCAGCTGGGGTCCCTGTTGAATTTGCTGACCAGTGGAGCAAAGAGAGGCAGTGTTTCACGGTCCACCTGCTTTTTGGCTGCTCTAAAAAGGTACCTGAGAGCATTTACTACCTTGTGTGTGTGATGTGGATCTGCTAAAATTCACAGCTGGCCAAGATCTATCTATCTATCTATCTATCTATCTATCTATCTATCATCTATCTATCTATCTATCTATCTATCTATAGTTTTGCTCTCATTTTCATAAATAACTAAATATGATGCTACAGATTCAAATATGCCAGGGCACAGCACAACATTAAAAGACTCTCAGTCTCTTAAGTAGAGTATCTCCTGGCTAAATCTTAGATAATAAATTTCAATTTTTCATAAGAAAATTCAAAGTGAAAATCTCTCTTAATAAAAATGGATGTATCAAAACTGACAGTCAGGGGAAGCAAATCAGACGTATTGTTGGCAGGGCACTGTCCAGCCTTGCAAAAGCTGAAGGACGGGTGGCTAGTGAGTCACAGCTCACGACATCACTGCCTGGTGCCAATACTCCTTTCTGAACATGCACTCGGCCCCTGGTTGTGCTGTTCCCTGATGCTCAGCTGCTGGGCAACTTGGCTGTGTGTGTCCACTGCAGTGTGGGAGCCATAGGTCGCCCACCACTGACCTAGCTGTGGTTTCTACAGTGTCTAGAAGCAGGGAAAGAACTTACTGGAAATTAAAAAGAAACTTAAAAAATGTTAGTCTCATCTTAATCCTCCCAGACTAAAGGACTAGTATCTAGAACATATAAAGAACTGAAAAATCAGACTCCCCAAATTTAAAGACCCAATCCAAAAATGGGCATCTGAGAAGAGTATACACTTCTCAGAGGGAGAAATAGAAACAGCAAATAAATACATAAAAAAGTTCAGCATCACTAATCATCGGAGAGGTGCACATTAAAACAACACTGAGATTCCATCTCATCCCAGAAAGAATGTCAAGAAATCATCCAATAGCAAATGCTGATGGGACTGATGGGGAAAAAAGCAACCTTCTCCACTGTTGGTGGGAGTGCAGACTGGTACAACCACTGTGGAAATCAGTGTGGAGATTCCTTTAAAAGTTACGATTGATGGGGCTGGAGATTTAACTCAGCAGCATAAGCGCCTGCCTTGTAAAGCAGGCAGTCGTGAGTTCGATCCCCAGTACCAATAAAAAGGGGGAAAAAAAGTTAGGATTGATGATACCATTTGACCCAGATATTCTCCTACTGGATATCTTCCTAGAAGAATTAAAATCATCATACCACCGCATAATGTGAGCCCATGTTTATAACAGCACATGTAATAGTCAAATTACTACTCATGTAATAGCCAAATCTTGAAAGCAATCAAAGTGCCTGTCAACTGAGGAATGGATAAAAAGGATGTGGTTTATTTTCATACAGTGGAGTACTACTCAGCCATAAAGAAAGATAAACTTGAGACATTTCTAGGTAAATTAGGATACCCTGAGATCACTCTTAAGTGAAATAAATCAGACACATGTGTAAATATCAGATAATTTCTCAGGTGTGAGATGCAAAAGATGTAAATAAGGACCAAAGTATATGAAAGATATCATGAAACAGGAAGAAATTGTTCAAAAGAAAGGGAACTAGGCAAGAGGGAGGAGGAAAGGAAAAGAAAAAATAGATTCCATACTCTTAGGTGAAATAAATTGCACACACATGTTTAAATATCATATTATTTCTCTGGTGATGGAAAATGAAGTTTAAATAAGGACCAAAATGTATAACAGATATTAGGAAATAAGAAGAAAATGTTCAAATGGGAAGAGGAATAAGGGATGGAGAGAGAAAGGAAGGGAAAATTAAAAAGAGAACAGAAGAAAATGGAAACAAAGTTTTTATAAATAAGGAAGGGAAAAGGGGTTGAAGGGAGAAGAGGGAATTGGGGAAAAAAAGAATGAAAAATATTAAATACAGGTACAAACTTCCGTTAGTGAATGTGATAATTATGCATGTCTAAAATGCACCAATGAAATTAATCAAAATATAATCCTAGTAGGCACAGTGCTTCCCAAAGCTAAGTCTGAGTTTTCTAATACACTGAAGAAGTGAGAAATGCTATGGTAAAAGAAGGTTTAGGGTGGGTATACAGTTATATGCCACAAAAGTACATTTGGGTCAAGGGCCCAGAGAATTATACTGTCTGTGCCAACCCTTGCTGTCTTGGGTTATGTAATAAGCACACTCTGATGTCCCCAAAATTATGAAATGGAGCGATTCCAACTCACAGACTATTACTGTGCTTAAGTGATGCCCAGCTATTTATTTGGCACTCCCCAGCCAGTCTCATCTGCTCTTTCTGTACCACACAGGCCATAAAGCTGACAACCTTATTTCCCACGCTCCCTTCCAACTGAACAGTGCAGGTTCTATCCCACAGGACTTGGAAGACAGAAGAGGGACAGAAGTTCCTGTCGACTGCTTCTGGCTGCTTCCTGCAGAAGGCTGAGGCCTCTAACATGCTGGTATCAAGGGAACTGGCAGGAATTGCAGTTGTACCTTCTTGAACCCAAGATCCCAGTTATGATGTTCATTCTAGAACTGAGTGAACCAAGGGATTCCTGGGTGGGCTGGAGGAGCAGGCTCTAGGGTGGGCTTCTGAGACCAAGTCCCAGACACTCACCCCCTCATTTCTTCTGGGAAGCTGCTCCCTCTGCCATGGTCAGAGCAGGAGCAGCAATCAGGGTTGCTGAGTTTGCAGCTTCAGCCCAAGGATGGAAAAGCTGCTACCAAAATCCATGGAGATAGTGGTCAGACCCACATCCCTGCTGAAGAGCTCGTACCACAGTTCTAGCATGCTGCCATACTGTGGAAACACTGCATGGAAAATCTTCATACGATTCTCTGTGTGTGCATTTATGTGAATGTATTGCAGATATTGAACTACTAGTCAAAGGTATATACACTTTAGTAGAGATTGCTAAGGTGCTCTCCAGAAATATTTTAAGTCATGTTGCTTTCAATATTTTGTCTCACCTTTACTAACACTGCACAGCCCAGGCAGTAAGTTTTTAAATAGCTACCAATGATAAAGTAAAAACTAGCATGGGCTGACTACTGTAGATCAAAACAAAACAAAAACACTGGCCCTAAATCAAGGCCAGCAGCTGTCTGACCCTGTTTTTTTCTAGCAGGAACCTAAAGAGATGTCTTTCTATAGTCTGATGGCCATTTCAGAACTTGGGCAGTGAAATAGTCAATTCATTAGAAAGAAACAGCTTCAAGCAATCTCTCACCCACCCTGGTGAGAGGCTGTGAGTGTGGCAGGCTGTGGTGGCCCAGGATGGGAGCCACTGGCATTTATTGGGACCCGCGCCATGCCAGGACCTGAAGTGATGGGAAAGCAAACAATCTTGCCCCTGCTTGTTTTGTTTTGTTGAACTTCAATATACATGAAAGTATGGACAGCTATTTTAAAGAGAATGAGAGACTCTACGACAGCCATTGGTAACTTCCCTATTGTCTGGTTTTGAAGACCTAAAACGCTTTCCTCATTCTGTTCGCATCAGTTTTGTACTATGTTGTTTTGCATGAAATCTCTGTATATGACGACATGCACAACTGTTTGGAAGAAAACAAGAGACAATATGATAGATAGTGAAGATCTCAGGTCATCTAGCTTTGAAATCTATATCTCTTACATTGCTTTCTTATGTCCTATTTTGTTCTGTCTTGTTGTGTTTAATTTTACCCCCTTTAAAATAAAAATTAAAAACAAAAACAAGAAACAGAAGCTCAACCAATCATGACACACAGACCTTTTGTTGGAAAGATGGATAAGAGGGTTCCATTGCATATGAGCTCTTGGTAGCAACCTTTTTAATGTTTGGAAATATGAAAAGTGAAGAATGACAGTGCATTTTTTAAGCTTATGTTTCTCAGAGTACTTATGTTAGGAAACTTCTCTACATTGTTTTGTTTTTAATTTAGGGAATGCTGGAGATGGAACACAGGGCCTCATGCATGCCAGGCAAGTGCTACCACTGAGCTCTACACCCACCTGCTATGTCATTTGTAAATCTCTCTTCTAAATCTTGATGCAACAGGATATACATACTACTCCTGACTTAAGGTCATTGGAAGTGTATTAAGAAATTATTATGAGTCAAACTTCTTCTATGTTCTGAAGATAAAATATTACACAGTTTCCACTTGGGAAATTCAGGGCAATGCAGGAAGAGAAGTGCATGTGAACATACACATGCATACACACACACATACACACACACACACAGAGTCTCAGATAATTTCAAATCTAGAAGCATCAGAATGAAAGGATTCCTTTGCATTTATTTAAAACGTGTTATATGAGCTATTTAGTGGTTTATTTGGGTCCAGGATGAGATGAAATCATTTAATGCACTAATACATGTTAATACATATGTAGGAGAAAATAGAGTAAATGTAGAGTTATCAAGGAAAAAAACCCAATTTGTAAATGGTATAATTTAGCTAGACGTGGTGTAACATGCAATGGCAAACAGAAACATTGAAACAACATCTGAATAATTATAAAGGAAATGGAAGATATTAGATGAAAACATCTTGAGTGAAAAATATCTTTTTGCTGATTTTCAATTTTTAAAAGCCTTTGGAGAGTAATTATACAGTTAGTACTTCACAATTTAAGAAAGGTGTCATGGTTAGTTTTCTCTCATTGCAGACAAAATACTCAATGCCCAAAATCAGGGAAGGAAAAGGTTTGTTTCACTCATAGTTTGTGGGGACTTCAGCTCACACTTGGCTGGCTCCAAGGCAGGGTGGCATACGACAGCAGGCAACCATTGCTGGCCACAGAAGACAGCAAAAAGTAACAAAAGCAAAGCAGAAGGACAGCACTGAGAGGGCTCTTTCTGTCCCTTATATTGTATGTAGTCACCTATCCTAGGGTGGGTGGAGTACTCACACCCATCATCACAGCATTGGATGATGAATTAATCACAAATTCTAGGAGCCTGCCCCTATGGTTGCATGAGGCTTTGGGGGAACATCTAGACACAAACTATAACAGGAGGAAAAGTTTGTTTTGGGTCATAGTTTCAGAGGTTTTGCAATGGCTATCAGAAAGACCAAAACAACACTCAGGATTTTGAGGCAGATTTATTTATGTTAATGGGCACTGATTAGGATCATTATATCATATATATCAGACGCTGATCTCTGTTGGTGTAGGGCTTATTATGGGATAAGCAAGCAGGAAGTACAGAGGCAGAATGGCTTGTCAACTGGGGATTGGTTCTTACAGTATGCATCACAGTGACCAACCAACTGGAAATAGGACAGGATCTGTTACCCGGGCATCTAGCAAACTGAAGTATACTGGCTGGGATGGGAGGGGGGATTGTTTGCTACAGTTTCAGTCCACAGCTGGTTGCAGAGACATCAAGGTAGAAGGGCATGGCAGGGGGAAGTTGTTACTTCATGGATACAGGAACAAGACAGAGAGAGACAGAGACAGAGACAGAGACGGAGATGGAGAGATAGAGATAGATGGAGACAGAAAAGGAAGGGTGTTGCTGTGAGGCTGGGTAGAAGTGGGTGGTCTGGCCCAGGTATTACTAGGGTTGCAGAAAACTAACAAAGTCTGTGGTGTTGCATTGAACGTGAAGGAGAGGTCCCCAGGTTTCTGGCTTTTCCTTGGAGAGTGGGTAGTTACATCAGCTGGAAAAGCTAACGATGGAACTGGGCTTAGTGGGCGATAATAAGAGTGGTTTTGGAGATACTGAGTTTAAGATGAGTCTGGACATTTAAGGGATGTTATGTAGAGAGGAACAGGTCTGCTGTGGCCACTGAAGGACCACGGGGTTTCTTTCTTTAGGTCTACTTAACATCACATATTTGGAGCTCTGAAGAGCACTGTGGGCAAGAGTTATGAATTGGAATGCTGTCTGCAATAAGATAATAACTGAATACATGAATAGCCTGAGATCAGGCGTGGAGATGCTATGACAAATAGTTAGAGCCTGCAGGCTCAAGAACTCCAAAAGTTCATGGCTCAGCAAAACTCAGGGGCAGATCATGAAATTTTAAAAAGTCTTGAAAATACTCTGAGTACCACTAATCAAGCTCAGAAATTAACACAATATTTTTATTATTTTCCTTAAGCTTTAATAATATTTCCCTATAATTTTAGCTGCATAATCTTTAGTTATTTATTTTTTGTGGTACTGAAAATGAAACTCAGGACCTTTACAATGAGTTACATCCCCATCCATTTTTAAATTTTTATATTAAAACAGAATCTTGCTAAGTTTCGCAGGCTGGGCTTGAACTTGGAATCCTCTTGCCTCAGCTTCCCAGAGATCTGGAGATATAGGTGCTTGCTCATGCTTAACTGCATTTTTATTTTATCAAACTTATTGAAGAACAGCTAATGTCAAATAAAATGCATCCACTAAAAGCAAGCAATTGGAAGGGAATCAGGAAACATCTGCATACTCCAGCATGGTCACAAGGCAAATGGAAAGCTTCCCTCACCCCTCCAAGTTTCCCGGGCTCCATTGCTGTTTATCTCTCTTCCTGTTTGTGGTTTCTGATTTGAAGCGTTATATAAAGGAAATAGTACATTGTGTACTCTTTTTATATTTCTCTCACTCTGCATAATAATTGTGAGATTTATCTACAATGCCATGTGTGTCCCTAAGTTCTCTTTCATTGTTCTTTAGTATTCCCTTGTGTGGATATACCACAGTTTATGTTCTCACCTGTGGACAGACATTTGGATATTTCCCAGTTTTTTGTTTTTTTTTGTTTTGTTTTTTTTTTTGCTAGTCTACGGACTTTTTTTTGTCATGAATGAGTATTGAATTTTCTCATGTGCTTTGTTTTGCAGCTATTGAAATGAATGTGGTACTTTTCTGTTTTATTAGCATGGTAGATTATAGTGATCATTTTTCCAAATCTGAATTACTAGAAGAAACCATACATCATCATGGTACATTTTATGTAATTATTATTGTTATTTTATCCCTGCTATGGATACATAGATAGCTGGATTCAGCTTTTCTATGTATTATTGGTCACTTCCCATTCTCTTGCACAGTCCCTGGAAAGCACTAATCTACTTTCTATCTCTAAGAATTTCTTGTTCTGGACATTGTAATCAGTGGAACTTAAATGTGTGTCTGACGCATTTTTACTTAGCATAAGGCTTTCAGTGTCTACCCATGTTGTAGCATGCATTCAAGTTTAATTCCTTTTCATAGTCAAATAATGTTCCTTGTATCAGATTGTGTCTGTGAGTTCAGCAGCTAATGACATATTGTTTCCACTTTTTGCTGTTATGGAAAATGCTATGAACATTTGTTACAAATTTTATGAAAGTATCTGGTTATGAAAGTATCTGGAATATGAATCTGGAAGGAGAACTGCTGGGTCATGTGGCAATTCCATGCTTAATTTTTTGAAGAGTTTTTCAACTGTTTCCTATAGAAACTGCTGTTTTGTGTTCCCAGCAGCTGTGTATGAGAGCTCCACTTTCTCCACGTCCTTGGTGACTCTTGTTATCTGACTCTCTGCTTGCAGCTTTCTAAGTGGGTATGAAGTGATATCTCATTGTGGTTTGAGTTTACATTTCCCTAAAGACTTTTTTTTTTGTACCAGGGATCGAACTCACAACCTCACGCCTGCCTGGAGCTTAGGCAGGGAGCTTATGCCACTGAGCTAAATCCCCAGCCCTTGTATTTAGCTTTAAAAATCTTGGTCTATTTTTACACTGAATTGTCTTTCTATTGCATTGTCAGAGCCTTTATATAGTCTGCACGGAAGTCTCTTATCAGATACATGACTTGCAAACATTTCCTCTTATTGTATGATGGGTCCTTTTGCTTTCTTGATGCTGTTCTTTGAAGCACAAAAGTTTAAAATCTTGATTTTGCGCTCAGTTCGGCAGCACATATACTAAAATTTTGCTGAATTCTAGTTTGCTTAGTTTTGCTTTTGTTACCTGTGCCGTCCATTAAGAAACCACTGCACGTTACAGTGCTAAGAAACTGCTGCTGAGTCACTTGAGAATGTCCTCCTGTGATACCTTAGTGCATGGACACGTTTGTTTGCCAGCAACTTGGATCACACACAGAAGAGTTTGGCAACATTTTGGTTTTGGGGCTGGGGATTAGCTCAGCGGCATAAGCACCTGCCTTGCAAGCAGGCGGTCGTGAGTTCGATCCCCGGTACCGAAAAAAAGAAAAGAAAAGAACATTTTGGTTTTGTATGCAAACT